AGCACGTTGACCCATTCAGAGGGCACTAGGGGCCATACACATCAGTCTGTGTTATTTTATAGTAGAAGCTATAACATCTGTGGTGAAAGGAAAGTACTACCGAGTTCAGTATGAAGAGTTCCCCTTACTGCAAAAATGTTGCCTTTTGTTCTAAAATTATAAATGAGGATATATTAAAAAAGACCAAGAATGTATCTGCTAAATTACCCCCATTTCCTTAAGAGACCTAAAGTGCTACAGGTATTTACACACTAACAAAGACTTCCATGTTAACAAGAGATTTCAACAGCGTGGAGAACTGCACAGAGGTGGCTGGCAGAGAACAAAGAAGACAGATGTAGAATAACAATTAATGCATAGGAATTTTACCACATACAGAAAAAAATTACAAGTTTTTAGCAAATGCTGGCATGAAAGGTTTGCCAGTGAGCATGCCATTTAACAGCAAATTATTTCCTCCTGAAAATGGATTCCCATTGCAATTGCTGTAAGTCAGCTGTTCTAACAACACATGCACAGCTAACTTGCAAATACTCGTACTTTCTAACACCTAAATTAGATGTTGTAACAGTCAATGCAATTTGGTCTTTTCACAGAATCAGTTAGGTTGGAAAAGACCTCTGAGATCAAGTCCAACCATTTCTGAACACAGCTTTGTCAACTAGACCATGGTACCAAGTGCCACATTCAGTCTTTTCTTAAGCACCTTCAGGGACAGTGACTCCACCACCTCCCTGGGCAGTCCATACTCATGTCTAATCACCTTTTCTGTAAAGAAATTCCTCCCTAATGTCCAACTTGAACCTCCCCTGCTGCAGCTTTAGGCTATTTTCTCTTGTCCTGTCAACAGTTGCCTGGGAGAAGAGGCCAACCCCCACTTGGCTATAACCTCCTTTCAGGTAGTTGTAGATGATGATAAGGTCACCCCTGAGCCTCCTTTTCTCCAGGCTAAACACCCCAAACTTCCTCAGCCTCTCCTCACAGGACTTGTGCTCCAGACCCTTCACCAGTTCTGCTCCCCTTCTCTGGACATGCTCCAGCACCTCAGTATCTTTCTTCTAGTGAGAGGTGCAGAACTGGACCCAGTACTTGAGCTGCTACCTCACCAGTGCCAAGTAAAGGGGCACTATCACCTCCCTAGTCCTCCAGGCCACACTATTCTCAATACAAGCCATGATGCCACTGGCCTTCTTCAATTTCAAATTTCCTTCGGTAAAAATAAGAGTTCTAAGGTGCCTGAAAGCACTTTATTACTGAACAATGGTTTCTTAGGTGCTCTCAACAGGTGACTGTAATTAAAAATAGGGTCACATCTGAGGAAAGCTATCCAGGTGCACAGGTGCCTCCATTTGTCTCCTTTAGAGTGCTAGCCATGTAAAATTCAAGAAATGCATAGATATCATTTAGAAAACCAATTAAGCCATTAGAAGTAAACTCCATTAAAAGCCACTCTTCAGCTTCAACAATAAACTGCAGCCATTTCAAATTTAATACTGCACTAGCAAGTAATATACCATTGAATAATTCAACATTCCCCCCCGGAGGGGACACCTCGAGGTCCTTTTCTGCTGCTCTCCTTTCCAGCACTCTGCCCTCAGCCTGTAGTGCTGCTTTGGAAGGGGTGGCACCAGGGGGAGGTTGTGGCCAATGTGCAGGAACCTGACACTTGGCCTTGTTGAACCTCACACCATTGGACTCAGCCCACCAACCCAGACTGTTCAGAGCCCTCTGGATATATTTTCAATATTCTCACTTGAATACACAGAGGAACTCTTAAACTGTAAACTTAAGGGTTTATATTTAAAAGTGAAAGTGTTCTAGAACCATAGAGATGTAATTTTAAAAGCTGATTGTTTACTTTCCTGTACAGAAAAGCAACAGTTAGGGACTGATTTTCCCATAATGCAGATAAGACATTCCTTTCTAGACAGGGCACTAACCCAAGGCTGAGGTCTACAAACAGGTGTCCTTATGAGGTACTTTAAGTAGTATTTCCTTCAACATCCCTTCACCAAAGCAATGCTTTGGAAAATTTATTTTCCCTGCTCTTTGGACCTCAAGTAACACATGAAACCTTTGGTAAGGTTTCATAACTGCCATTTCTGAGCTCATCCCTACAGCTGCTCATCCTGCCCTTACTCTGGGGCAGCACAAGCACCAGGCACAGAGCCCCAACCCAGCGCGTTCGCGCTCCCCCCGGAGCCGCGGAAAGCCAACTCACCTCCGCTGGCCTCACCTGTGAGTGTCTCCTGCAGGAGCTCCCTCGGGGCTTGTCTTCATTAACCAAACATAAGGAGGTGTAATCGCTCTCCGCAGGGTGCCCGAGCAGCGCTTCGCCCCACCGGGACAGGCTTATCACACGCTGTTACCAAATGCACTACCTTATTCTATTCGTGTCCTCAGTGGGTAAAGATCAACCTCTGGTAACATTTATCTATGTTCTTGTCCTCATTACAGCCCACGTAGCACTTGGAAATACACCAGAGATCCTGCTGCACTATGAAACATGTTTAGGGGGTTGCCCTCACCTCTATGCTTGATTAATTTGTTGCTCTCCAGGTAAAGGCTGGATGGTAGGGACAAGAAGAGGGGTCAGCAGACATGCTGGACATGAGGCTGAAGGTGGCACCACAGCAGTACAAGGCCAGAACTAATTAATATTTAGCAGGACCACTGATCTGATCACAAAGGAAACACTGCTGTTTTGCAGAGGAAAGGGGTAAATGCTTCCATCCACAGTGCTACCTGGAGCTGTGCTACAGGTGCAGCCCATAATTCACCCGCAGACCACACGCGCTGGTTCTGAGGAGCTGGCAGCAAAGTGTAGCATGACATTTATTGAAGGTATTGATTCACACATTACTAGGAACACAGTACCACTTTAGGAAAGGTTATCAGAAATATGAATATATTAAGTAATGCAAGATGTAAAACCACTATCTGCTCCACTCTTGTACATGCTAAATGTGTTTTTTCTAGATCTGTCCATCCTGCAGAGGTAGGGTTAGTAGCCCTCTTTGTTTTGGCAGAGTATTCTGTACAGATTGACCTGGCCCAGCACTGTCATTCCAGAAGAGAGATCATAACACAGTTTATTTAAATAAAAAAGAAAGAAAAAGACATGTGAACCTCCTATCTTAAAGATCTGTTCAAGTTTGGCAAGCTAAGCTGGAAACTGATCTTATCCTTATATCCAAAAGTAGAATACAATGGAAGCCTTCTCCAAGAAGAGAAAATTTACAGCTTTTATTAAGTCTTACAGATAACCAGAGTATGTTTTAGTAGTCACCCTATGGACCAAAAGAGATATACACTTAATGGGAACATACTATATTACTGAATTAGTATTACCACAAAAATCAGAAAGACTTTGCTTATATCTGCCTAATCTCAAGAGGGTTTTTAAATTGTTTACAAATAGTCTTGTTATCATATATTCTGCAGTTCTAGAGCTGAGGCACTACAGCACAGGCATCAAAAATCTCACCCAAATTCCCAGTTTTATATATCCTATGACTAAAATATTTTTACAAAAATCATCTCCATACAACTTCAATCTCTAATCATTTAAGCCTCTTAAACTTGTCTTAAATTCCTGGATATCAAAAACAACTACCATATTTGCTCCTGAGGATAATTAGCCCCCAAATTACTTTTTAAATATACCTGAAATACATTGATAATTTACAAACACATTTCAGGGTTAAATGATTGGTAAGTAAACAAGTCTTTGGTAAATAATAACTACTCTGTTCTTTACTCAGTTAAAAAACTTAATTCATTTTTAAATCTAGACTAACTGATTTAATAACTATTTCTATAATGAGTAAGGCTCACATGGCACAATGCTGAGTGGCATAAATGGCTGTATGTAGTAAAACCTGAATGTTTTCAGGCTACAAATCCTGATAATACTAGGTTCCTGCCCTGGCTCTTTTTTTTTTTAAGTGCCCTTCAGCCAGCCCCAGGAAGCTGGATCTGAATAAGAGCTTCCTAATGAATTAGATTTCCAACATTTAAAGGTGTCAGCAATGTAGAAAATACTGTCCGTTGCAAGGATACATTCTACAGTAGGTACTGGACTGCATGCTAAAAACTACAACAAACCAATTAGTTTTAGTTTGAAATAATATATTACAGCTGCAGTATTGCCTAAAAATGTCTGCTTTACCACTTATGCAGTCAAACAGAAAAACTATGCACTATGCATGCTTGTGCGAGCTGAAGATGACTGCTTGCTCCCAAAGGAAACCTAAAGGCACAGGATATAGGTAATGTGAACGGAAATCTGGAAACAAACATCAACTTCCATTTTATTACAAGAATCCAATTAGAAACTGAATGCCTAAACTGATATTTTACTGTTTCTGTACTATGCCTTCACTTTGGCTAAAAGATGCCATATCACGTCCTTTAAGAAAAATAGCAGCAGTAAGCAGATCTTGTCATTGCAGAGGAGAAATAAAACATATGTCTGCTTTAGGTCTGGCTTACAGTTTTGGGATTATTTTAAACATGTCCAAGAACTGCTCAGATTATTTTCAATGACAGTTAAGAGTTTTACTGTACTATTAGTTTTTTAATAATCTGCCTTGTTAAAGGATCAATTACATTTGAGACAATAAATAATAAAGTTTACAATAAATAATTTTCAAGTCAAAGTATTGTACTTACAAAATAAAGTAACACTGTAATAGAATCTTCAAGATAATTCCATTTTACATATTCTGCAGCGAAAATAACATTTCTAGTAGGAAGGAATTACTTATAAACCTATCGAGATCTACACATTCACATGTGTGTGTAAACAACTTAACAAGGTTTATTATGTTCCCAGAAAAGCTATGCTTTTACAGTAGGTTTTCAGCTAAATTTATCATAATATGGTAGGAAATATATAACAGTGCTTATATTTAGCTCCATCACAAATTTGAATTTGAAAAACAAAGGAAAAAAATGGAGTGCCATTATTTACAAGGAACAGCAACTTTCCTTCTGCTTCACAAGTGACTGTATCTGTGTGTGAACAAAATGTTAGGGCGAGGCATTCCAGATGAACTGCAGCTAAGTTTGGATGAGGATGATTTCAGGATGAACAGTGAAGGTCCTGGCAATAAATACCTAGAAAGGATATGAAAAATACAGCAGAGTTTACAGGCAAAGCAACATTCAAGAGCAAAAGAATTAGTTGTTCATGTGCCACATCATATAATCGTTATATGCGAGAAATTGGGTACAGTAAATGCTAGTTATAAAACACAGAGGGCAAAAGGCACAAACTAACTCAGAAAATGAAACTAAACTCTGAGAAACCCTTAGCAAAAATTCAAGACGTTGTACGAGGATCAAATATCTTTCTAGTTCTTTATGTTTCAAGCCATTGAGTAAACAATGAACTCATGGGTAATATTACTACCAAAAATTAATACTTCAGTATTGGTCTCTGTTATTATAGTACAATTTATTTAATTTAAACTGGAAAAAACTGCAAGTGACATTAACCAGCTTATAAAAAGTTGCAAAACCAAATAAAACTATTAGAGAACAAAAAAGATTTTCAGCTTTGTTTCCAGCTCAAATTCTCTAAAAATAGACATGGTATCATCACTACTCTAATAAAGGAAGAAATGATGCTACAACCTAGTAATTCCATTCAGTAGGATTCAGCATCCAAAGGAACACAGAAATTGGAGACAAGAAAGTTCTCTTGGACCATCCCTTTCACTGTTTTCCAAATGTAAGCCTGTTAGCTGCAGTACCTTGGAGTAATCTGATCAGTTTGAATAGTTTGTGGTTGGTCATGATGTAAAATTTTCTGCAGTATTAACAGCAAAAGCAATAAAAACTTCAAGGCTGAAGATTTTCTAGTCTTAGCAAATCCAAATGACTTTACCATACTCTGCTATAGCTCAGTAGATGTTAATGCTGAATGTGATTTGGTTTGTGGCTAACATAATTCTGTTTCTGCTGTGACCAAACAAATTCAGGTTCTGGTTAGTTTTAAATTACGTTAGAGTGTCTTAAGATCCAAATGTCAATAACAAACAAGTTCAGTGTATCAAATAACTAGTCTGAGATATAGCAAGTAAGCAATTAAGTCATAAAATAAGCTTAACAGATAATATATCAAAGGTTTGCTTTTCACATAATATTTAACTGAAAGCCCTCCTATGAAATAATATATGTAAGATATTTTATATAAACAAAGCATTTGTAAGTTTATATACCTAATCATTCAAATTGCCATTATGGACAGAATTTGGAACCTAAGTAACTTGAAACTGACATTTAATTCTCCACCTACGACTGTTAAACTGCAGATCGTTGATTCCCACAGTTGGAGCATTTTCAGTAATCCCTGACCTGACAATATTATAACCCCTATTGTATGCAGTTGGAGAACTAAACCAGCCAATGGAGAATCAGGTAAGTGCCAAATAATTCTTTTACTATATGATGCTGTTTTGCAAGGTTTGAAAAAAATATTTATGCTCTGTAAGATGAAATAATAAAACTTTCAATCTCAAGGTTTTGGAAACCAACTTTGCAAAACTGTGCAATACAGTAAATCAGATGGCACTTACCTGACCCTTGGCTGGAGCTGTGCCCCTATAGCATCCCACTGGAATGTGAAGCCACAAGTATCTGACATGTTAGGATACCTCTAGGAATGCAAATCTGGAAACAGTAACTTTGAGGGATCTGAGAAGGGGAAGAAAGGAAATTTTCAGTTCACTCTATGGAAAGCCTTTGCTGCAGCTAAATAGGCAGCAGGCAATCAAGAGTCTAATACAAGATGTGTATATCAAGTCTTTTTTTGGTAGCACCTCATGAGTGGGCTAGTGAGATTAGAATGATTGAAACTCAAGATCAAGGGAAATGTTGGGGGGGGTTGCTTTTTTTTTCCTTAAATACAGAATGAACTAGGCTTAAAGAGAAGTGTTGTGATAGCAACATAGACTGAAACCTGTTTCAATACTATCCCTTATATTTATAATTTAGAATCACCCTCTGGGTGAACCACCTTTTCCTAATATCCAATCTAAACTCCTTTAATGCAGCTTCATGCCATTCCCTTAGGTCTTGTCACCGGTCACCAGAGAGAAGAGATCAGTGCCTGCCCCTCCACTTCCTCACGTGAGGAAGCTGTAGAGCTCTGTGAGGTCTCCTCAGTCTCCTCTTCTCCAGGCTGAACAAGCCAGGTGACCTCAGCCGTTCCTCAGATGGCTTCCCCTCTAGACCCTTCACCATCTTTGTGGCTCTCCTTTGGACACTCTCTAATTGATTTAGATCAAAATTTATACCTTGTATCATCCCAGTGATGGCTAATCCCAGTTGGGGATCCTCTTGAATCTGATGAATATTTGTAAACTACCAGCAGGCAGTGTTTACAAAGCTGTACTATTCTTCGGCAGCACTGGAGTTGCTCAGGAGTCACTAACTCTGTGCTTTTACTGAATATGGTTTCCCAAGAGCTCCTGTTATGGAAAAAGACATGAATTCATGTTTTCTGTCACAAATTGTAATCTAAGAGCTTTACTGTTTTATATCAGACTTAACAACAGAGGAACAAGAGGAAAAAGCATGACCTTGCCTGTTTACAGGAAAGGTCTATACTATTTAACACAAGTGCTGGCAGATGCTGAGTCCAAAACACAAATTAAGAAGTTAATCTTCATGTGGGAAATGTCCACAGCCATTTTTCACTTGGTTTGTTCCCTAAAGTGTTTATAGAACCATTACTTAAATTTAGCACATGAACATTTAGTCACAAAATTGTGTATGTGTCTTACAGCAGAAATAACAAAAAAACACTTACTTTTTAACAGGCTACCACCTGAATGTGACTATGATGTGACATTACAGGACTAAAAAACATAATAAATTATTTCTAAATGTCTAAACATAATAATAATACTTTCAGTATTTAAGTACATAAACTAAGAAAGTACATATACTAATAAACAAATAGGAATTTTTTTAATTAGTATCTACTCTGCTTTCTTATCCAAAAAATCATATGAGGAGAGTCTCTCACTTTAGTCACTCAAATACTATTTATTTTTTCACCTGGTCACATGAGGATGGTCTTTTACAATTAAATGCAACTTGCAAAGTACATCTACAGAAACATTCCTATTCTTCTCTTAAGAAGCCATTTCTCTTTCCAAAGAACCTCACCAAACCCTACCACACCAATATAAACTAGGTATATTTTAGCACAGAAGAGTACAATAGTTCTTTGCATACAGCTCAACAACACTCCTGTTTGTGCAAAATTCTGACCAAACTGCAAATCATTGCACCTGTTTTAAAAGGCAACAGGGTCCCTGTGAAGACTCTTTCTTTGGCCAAAAATATTATTCAGTAGCACAGATAGCTTGTAAGCTTGTGGTTTTTAGTTTGTCTATAAAAGGAGCACTTGACAGAGTGAGGAAAATTTGTGGCATTTTGCTTCAACGTAACATCCAGGATGATTTAGCCTTGTCCCCAGAGCTCAGCAGTAGATTTCACAACACTGGTGTAGGAAGTTTGTCCTTAAAACAACATCAACCAGAACCAGCAAGCTTACTTCTGCCTAGTGAGATGGTTTTTACATTACGCTGCATTAGGATGGAATTATGACCATTATTGACTAAAAGATAAGCTGTATCATCTGTTAACTGATTTGTTAGCCTGGCTCCTCTGTCTAGATGATATGTTCCTG